TCTATTTTGATGCAACATTACACAATGCTTAACATAATGACCATCAATTTTAATAATAAAATAAACGTATCATGGATTTTCAGAAAATGTGACTAGCATGGGTCTTCAAGCCACACCTTGAAAATGCCAATATGTGAAAAATTAAATTTTCACAAAAAAACTGTTTAATTGCCAGAAAAATTTACCAAACAGACTGCATTGCCTACTGAAGCTGTATTTTAGTCCCATGTTTCTTTCCTGTAAGTTTGAGAACAGTAAATGACATGGTTTTCCTTAAATGGTCATCATGGGAGCAGTGCCCAAAATAGGGGTTTCTTCAAATTTGATGCAACATTACATAATGTTTAACAGCATAATGACCATCAATTTTTAATAATAAAATATTAGTAACATGGACATTCAGAAAACGTGACTAGCAAACTTCTTCAGGCCAATGGAACTTCAAAGTCACACCTTGAAAATGCCAAAATGTAAACAAGACAGCACTGTTCTGACATGGGTTTATTTCCATTTTTAACACTTTTTTAACATAAAATAAACAGTTTACTGCAATTTTTATATGATCAACTAAGCAAATTGATGAGATGGGAAAAATTTCAATAGAACAGTGTTAAATGTCCAATTTCCTCCGTTCTGAGATTCTGAACATACTGAATGATTAAATCTGACAAAATGCAATGATATGAGTTTGATTCCATTTTTGACACTTTATTACACAATACACGATAACAAGTTTACCATCATTTTTACATAATCAACTAACAATATTGTAAAGATGTAGGAAATGTCAAACAAACACTTTTTCTGTAGACATTGACTTGTGTTAACCACATAGTCGATCCTTTTTCACGTTTTAAAGGAAAAATGACACCTTTTTGATGGTGGAATTCAGATCATGCGTTTTGTAGACGAATATTGACCTTGGGTGAAAGTATACAAGCGATTAATTAGTAAAGTACCTTGGGTGTTTATGGGGAAGAGACTGAACAAATCTCATCTCATGGTCAAGAACACACGAATACCGTTTTATATCCTAATATCGGCAAAGGCAAAACAGAATGCAGCAAAGGTAGAAAATTTATTCTCACCTTATTTCGAGACCATGTGAACAATGATTTCAATGCTGCGTGGCGGGGATTGCACTAAAAACAATTTAATACAAGAAACAAATAATCCTACGAGATTTGGCCAATTGCAAAATTAAAATATCACCGTGGGAAAAAAGGATGAGATAATGACATTAAAGCATTATGTGAACATTTATAAAAAAAAGCCATTTAAATTATGGTGCTATAAGGAGTTTAGTATTCCATCGGTATCAGTTGTGTCACGTTAAAAAAGAATAATTTTCTTAGTATGTTGCTATGTACATGCAGATGGCTTAAAACGCAATAAAACGACCTTGAAGTTTGGCCAAATACAACTGTCTCAGTCGCACCACGTAAATAAACCATTCATTAATGCATTGAAGGAATCCCGTGTGGATCAGTGTCACATACACGTTTTCAAAGTGCCCTCTAGCTGCGCATTATTTATCAGCTGCAGCGTGTAGCACATACGAGTCAGGTGTGACGTCACTAAAACGGAGAGAGACGAGTGTAGCCGAATGAATGTTATCGTACACAGTTTGATATTCCTGATCACACAGGACCCTCGATACAGCGATGGAACTGCAGCTTGTTATTATTTTACGTTGGCATCCCACATTTTAAATGTACCATATCACCTTGAACTGTAATAATATTCAACTGCATATTTTAACTGTGTATATAAACGGCAACACGTAAGGAGCGTAGGGCTATTTCATATCTGCTGCCGTTGCTAGTGCTTCATTGAAATTTGCGAGGTGAGCTGGTTTCACTTTTTTCTTCGATTTGCTTGTATTTTTTTTTTTTCTCTGAGCATGATTTTAACTGTGAACAACGAATAAGGGCACATGCCCAATGCTACTATTGGACTCTCGCTGAATGCAAACCGTGTGACAGATTACCACGCCTCCCCTTGTTTCCAACAAACTCGTATGATAACAGGGGTGGGTTAAGGCCGTCATCTGGGTCTTCCGGAAGACGGTCAGATTTTCAAGTTTACTTTGACGGGTATCTATTTTTTCTGACGGAAGACGGTCAAAAATGGAGGATGGATCAACAAAGATAATTTTGAAGACTGTCAGAAAATATCTCTGGATCCGCCCCTGAATAATAGAATAAGGGTATATGCACAATGAAACTACTTAGATCGGTCCATCTCTACGAAGATAAACCTCTTCAGGGACTCTCGCTGAATGCAATCCTTGTAACAGGTAACCACGCCTCCCCTTGTTTCCAACAAACTCGTATAATAACCAGCTTTTCTATATTCTACTCAATTCCAGGAGGAACCGAGTTAATCTGTTAAGTTGATAACATTTAAAAAGTCCGGCGGAGTTGGACAGAACTACGTAGTTCCAACGTGAAGAAGGAAAGCGGTGTTTATTTTTCAAAATATACATGTATTCTTTGAAATGGTAGTGCTCATAAATTTCCCAGTTTACACTTGTTCTTAACTTTTCCTCTTTTACGTTTTTTTTTTTTTATTTTCACTTGAGTTTGGGCTGTGAAAAGAATCATATAATCTCTACGTTATTCAAGAAATAAAAATGCTTTTTTTAATTTTTTACCTTATTTTTTGTCTTGATTATTTATCTTAGACACACGAATTTAGTGTCTTCATCATCTATAATTTGTATTTTAAACTATTTTGTTTCAGATATTTCCCTGGTACCATGTCGCCCAAAGTCGTAATGTTAGCGTTCGCAATTCTGGTGGCTACATTCGTCCATGGTCCGAGTGAAGCGTTTCTATACGTAAGTTTCTGCTATAGACAGCAGTGTTCAGAAAGCCCATACCATATACTGCTTAAGTTGTAGCTAGATCAGGTACGCGCGTGATTTCAATCAAGTTTTCTTAATTCCTCTGGAACTCTTCACTGTTAATTAAGTGTCCTGCACTATAACTGCCGTCATCCGAATTAGAGACGTGTTGGGATCGCATGTTCTTTATGCAATAATGTTCTGTCAGACGAAATTATTTCTCATACAATATGTATAAATTCATCAAGGTACTTTTAATGTAGCAACCACATATTTCGTGTCTAGGCGCCAATAAAGCCTTTGTGTTACTGGATTTGTCAACCTCAACCTATCGGTGACCCCCTGGTCTGTGACCGCTGCCACTACCAAGTGGGCACATGTGTGTCCTTCAACTTCCCGAAATGCTATGTTACTGGACGGAACTGTGCTAGAAGCAACTGGTACGCCATCAAATGCTGCCATCATCACCACTGTTAGCTAGAAAGAAACCCACGTGTTCGAAATTCCATTAGAGGTCGCCACACAGTGGAGCCCTTTAAACTTTATCATGCATTACATCGAATCTGGTATTGCGGACAACTGCAGAGGCAGTGAAATAAAATGATTTGAAAAAAAAAACAAACAAATGTTTGACAGATGTTTACAATGAAACAAAACAAATTTGATTCATAAAACACTGACCCTGATGAAAATAAAATCCCCAATATTTTCTAGTATAGTTTCGCTTTGTTATTATTCTTTCTTTCTTTCTTTCTTTCTTTATTTTTTTATTATTATTATTATTATATTTATTTTATTTTATTTTATTTTATTTTATTTTATTTTATTGAGATCGTGCTGCAGACGGTTTAAAGAAAGACGTCTCAAACAGCACATTCTCTATATCGCGTAAGAACTGCAGCAGCTTCATGCCTTTGCAGCTTCGATATGCCTTTGCAGCTTCGATATTGTTTGTATCTATATGAAGCATGTTTTATTATAAAATGGTATGACTTAAATAGTGATAAAATATATAAATAGATAGGATCAATTGGATTAAGTATCATTACAAGATGGTATTATAATAATCTCTTTACGGCACTTTTCCACTTGTATCTTACGTTGATAATGGAAATAAACTGGTATGATATATACAAGTAGATTAATTGAAACGGAATAAAATGNAGTATATAAGCGATTAATTAGTAAAGTACCTTGGGTGTTTATGGGGAACAGACTGAACAAAGCTTAAAGAGATAATAACTCTTCGTTTTGGCCAAAAATAAATTTTCCTGGAGTAAACAACAATTTTCCCATACTTACCAATGGTTAACAAATCCATTTTTACATTCAAAATTAGTCCCTGTTTTTTTTTCTGAAAAGTTTGGTTTTTTGTTAAAATCTCTTAAGAGATTATAACAGAGTATAGCCATCAGTGGAGGTCACGTGGTCTGAAGACAAGCTCAGATATCAGAATAATAGCTATAACTGCTGTTTTTGTCATAAAACAGGATATATTATGTTTCTATGAGTTATTCACAATGTTTTTATTGTGACATATAGACCTCACACGAAGAGTTATTATCCCTTTAAGAACACATGAATACCGTATTATATCCTAATATCGGCAAAGGCAAAATAAAATGCTGCAAGGGTAGAACATTTATTCTCACCTTATTTCGTGACCATGTGTATAATGATTTCTATGCTGCTTGGCGGGGATTGCACTTAAAACAATATAATAAAAGAAACAAATAATAATACAAGATTTGGCCAATTGCAAAATTAAAATATCGCCGTGGGAATAAAAGACGAGATAATTACATCAAAGGATTATGTGAACATTAAAAAAAGCAATTTAAATTATAGTCCTAAAGAAGGAGTTAAGTATTTCATCGGCATCAGTTGTGTCACGTTAAAAAAGAATAATTGGCTTCGTATGTATAAATGCAGATGGTTTGAAACGCAATAAAATAACATTGAAGCTCGGCCAAACACAACTATCTCAGTCGTGCCACGTACACAAAGCAGTCATTAATACATTGAAGGAAACACGTGTGGATCAGTGTCACGTACACGTTTTCTATTTGTCAGCTGCAGCGTGTAGCACATACCAGTCAGGTGTGACGTCACTTAAACGGTGAGAGACGAGTGTAGCCGAATGAATGTTATTGTACGCAGTTTGATATTCCTTATCACGCCGGACCTTCAATACAGCGGTGGAGCTGCAGTATGTTATTTTAAGTTGACATCCCACATTTTAAATGTACCATATCACCTTGAACTGCAATGATGTTCAACTGCATATCTTAACTGAGTATATAAACAGCAACACGTAAGGAGCGTAGGGCTATTTCATATCTGCTGCCGTTGCTAGTGCATCATTGAAATTTGCAGGGTGAGCTGGTTTCGCTTTCTTTCTTTGATTTGCTTGAATTTTTTCTCTGAGCATGATTTTAACTGTGAACAACGAATAAGGGCACATGCCCAATGCTTCTACTGGACTCTCGCTGAATGCAAACCGTGTGACAGATTACCACGCCTCCCCTTGTTTCCAACAAACTCGTATGATAACAGGGGTGGGTTAAGGCCGTGAACAACTAATAAGGGCACATGCCCAATCTTACTATCGGTCTACGAAGATAAACCTCTTCAGGGACTCTCGCTGAATGCAATCCTTGTAACAGGTAACCACGCCTCCCCTTGTTTCCAACAAACTCGTATAATAACCAGCTTTTCTGTATTCTACTCAATTCCAGGAGGAACCGAGTTAATCTGTTAAATTGATAACATTCAACGAGTCCGGCGGAGTGAGATAGATCTACGTAGTTCCAACGTGAAGAAGGAAAGCGGTGTTTACTTTTCAAAATATACTTGTATTCTTGAAATGGTAGTGCTCATAAATTTCCCAGTTTACACTTGTTCTTAACTTTTCCTCTTTTAATCTCTACGTAATTCAAGAAATAAATGCTTTTGATTTTTTTTTTCCTAATTTTTTTTCTGAATTATTTATCTTAGCCACACGAATTTAGTGTCGTCATTATCTATAAATTGTATTTTAAACTATTTTGTTTCAGATATTTCCCTGGTACCATGTCGCCCAAAGTCGTAATATTAGCGTTCGCAATTCTGGTAGCTACATTCGTCCATGGCCCGAGTGAAGCGTTTCTATCCGTAAGTTTCTGCTTAAGACAGCTGTGTTCAGAAAGTCCATACCACATACTGCTTTAGTTGTAGCTAGATAAGGTACACGCATGATTGCAACCAAGTTTTCTTAATTCCTCTGAAACTCTTCACTGCTAATTAAGTGTCCTGCACTGTAACTGCGGCCGCCCGAATTAAAGACGTGTTGGGGTCGCATGTTCTTTATGCAATAATATTCTGTCAGATAAAATAATTTATCAAATAAAAAGTATAAAATCATGGAGACGCTTTAAATGTAGCAACCACCTCTTTCGTTTCCAGGCGACAATACAGCCGTTGCCTATATGCTACTGGATTTGTCAACCTAACCCTGTGGGTGACCCCCTAGTCTGTGACCGCTGCTTCTACCAAGTTGGGACATGTGTGTCCTTCAACTTCCCGAAATGCTATGTTACTGGACGGAACTGTGCTAGAAGCAACTGGTACGCCATCAAGTGCTGCCATCATCACCACTGTTAGCTAGAAAGAAACCCACTGTTAAGAAAGAAACATTACCAACGTGTTCGAAATTTCATTAGAGGTCGCCACACAGTGGAGCCTTTTAAACTTTATCGTGCATTACATCGAATCCGGTATTGCGGACAACTGCAGAGGCAGTGAAATATAATGATTTGAAAAAAAAACCCGAAAAATAACCAACAAACGTTTGACAGATGTTCACAATAAAACAAAAAATCTAGGTTCATAAAATACTGACCCTGATGAAAATAAAATTCCAATATTTTCTTATATAGTTTGGCTTTGTTGTTGTTGTTTTTTTTTTTTTCATTTTGAAATCATGCGCAGACGGTTTATAAAAAGATGTCTTATCGAATAGCACACTCTCTACATCGCGTAAGAACTGCAGGAGGGATCTTAAATAGAGCTCTACATACCTTTGCATCTTCGATATGGCGATCTAATAACAGACAAATTTCTTGTATCTATATAAAACAGGTTTTATTATTAAAATGGTATGGCTCAGATAGTGATAAAATATATAAATAAATCAAAAGATTAAGTATCGTTACAGATGGTATTCTAATAATCTCGGTACAGCACTTTTCCACTCGGAGGTGTCTTACGTTGATAATGGAAATAATTTGGCGTGATATATAGGTTAATTGAAAATAAAATGACCTTCATCTGTGACGAAGAAAAAAAAAACACCTGCTTATGATACAGTTGTGTCATGTAAAGAGATCAAGTGTGTATCTCAGTCACGTTTACAGTTCCAAAATATCCTGTAGCTGCAGTTTGTAGCGCGTGAGATGTAGGTGTGACAGTGTTCAGAAAACTTAACAGGGGGTATATTTTTAGTGGTAGTTGCATCAGATGGAATAACTTTTAATTCCTCTGTAACTCTTGAACAAAGTGGCCTTAACTGTGGATGGCGGGCCGAATAACCCCGCTTTGACAACAAAGTTGATCCGCGGATCAAATATGGCCGANGATGCGCTGAAATTGCGCAAATCGTCAAATTACATAACGACCGATCTACCTTAAAGAGTGAACCAATCTAGGGAAATCATTCTATCAATTGAAATTGCTTAACTTCAATAATAATAATAATAATAATAATAATAATAATAATTATAACTCAAAAACTTACTAAATGGAGTCTACATGCAGCTCTGTTGGAATACATGATAGCCCTTTCCTTTTGAAAACAAAGTGGACATGTCTGGAGTGCCTGGGTATATGAGCAAATAGCAAGTTGAAACTCACTGGCCTTAAAGTGGCTGTTCCCATTTGCTTTAAGTGCCTGGGCTTCATCTTTTCTAACCTAAAAAAATCATTTAGGAATACATACTGCATTTGCTTTAATTCAAATAATTTTAATTTGATCATAAATAAACTGTATTAACAATATATTTTCAAGTGGTCTGCCTAAATTGTGCAATACACCACAATATAGCGCAACACAGTACAATACACTGAAAAAAAAAAAAAAAAACAGGTCCATCTGCAGTTAAACAAAAAAAAAAAGACATTCCAAACAAAAAAGGGGGATATAAAAAAATATATACATATTACTAGATAATTAATACCGCTGATATAATTTAACAAATTGGTGAGACTTGTATATTGTTGGGTCAGCAGCCAATGGCAGACAGTGGCTCTTCTTCATAATATTACCAGCATGATTTGTTAAGTTGCAACAACAATATTAATCAATTAACAATATATCTTAATATCTTTTGTATCACCTCATTTTGTTTGAAATGACCATTTATCATGTATACTTGCAACTGGACTTGTTTATTCATGTGTATTGCACTGTGTTTGGCCGTTTTGCAATGTATTGCACCATTTAGGGATACCCATTTTCCATAGCTTCTATCTTCGATGCCTTAAAGAGGTAAATACAGTTTTTAAAAGTACTTGATTATTTATACCTGTTTTTCTTCTTCTGACATTTTTTCTTCTAATTTCTTCATGTATTCCTCATCTACAACTATATCATTCTCATCCGGTTTTGTACATTTATCTACATCAGAGTCACTTTCTCCTGCTTCAACTTCATCTACTGGTACATCAGTTCCGCATTTTTGATGCTGAGAGTTTTCATTTTCATGATAATCCTTTTTATTAATACCACAATTATCATCTTTGATGAAGGATTTTTTATCTGAGTCTGATTCATTTCTGGCCTTTTCTTCTTTTAGGGAGTTTTCCAAGTTTTGAGTTAAATCACCAGCTAAATCATTTGGATCAACTGAAGCCATGATTCCAAAATATTTCTTGACCTGAAAATGTTGAATGCGATAAAAATAAAGAAGAAAAACTTTCAAGATTGAGAAATTTAAAACCAAATTCACAAAGCTGTGCACTGCCATAATCTATGCTTTTACGCCGTTAGTGCTGGAGAGTCATACATTTATATACTAATATTATACATGTACATACATTGAGGTTATCTTGTAAATTCTGGTTAAAAATGTAACCAAATGATTATATTTATTAATTTCTGGTGCTCTTGTAAAAGCTGGTGCTCCAAAACAACGAGGCACTTCATCAAGTGAAAGTGGTTGCAGAAAAGAAGTAATTAAACTAGTAAACTGTGCAAAGTATGCCAATCATTCGTATAGAGATATCAATAATTTGTACTTGCTATTTGTCTTTGAAATATATCTCTTTCTAAAAATTAACAGCTTATTTCCTCCACATTTGTTTCATAAAAAAAGTATTTATAACCTTTAAAACATCCTACCTTCTAGGATCACATCTACCGGAAGTAGCCGGAAGTTGTGCAGTTTTCTAATATACGATTCATGCGCTGTAACGAAAAGTGCATTTTAGAGCAAACAGAGATGTCGATTGTGTATTTAAAGAATACTGTATATAAAATTTGGCTTAGTGCAAGTATTTTTTGTGTATAATAAATCTATGTATGAAGGCTTTTATAAGTAAGCGGATTAGATATCAACTCGTAAACTTGTGCTCAGCTCCAACTTCCGGATGTTATTGGTTGCATGTACTTTTGGAATTAAAATAGAAAGTGTAAAATGAATGCTGAAAATTGCAGCTTAGCAGAAAAAATAGTTTCTTCTTCGTACGTGCAGCAAGGTGCACAAGCAAGAAGGGCAAGAGAGAACTTGGTCAGGCAGTTATTTGAACAGGTTATATATTTATTTGTTTATTTTCTTATTTTATTTTTAAAATTTACAGGTACATTTTAATGTAAATGCTCAAGAAAATGTACCAATGCCTGATATATAAATGTTTGAAAGTAATTTTCATTTTAAACGTGGCTGAACATCAAGTATATTTAGTTGTCCATTTAGTCTGAAATGACAATTGTAAGGTTTGGTATTACATTTGCAGTATATGCATTTGCTCTTTACTTATTCTAGAAAAAATGTCCTGAAATTGGTTGGGATGACATGAGTATAGAACTGCTGTTACAAGAACTAGCAGTAATGGACAGCAACAATTTTCCAGGAAACTGTGGTGTTGGGGAAAGAGAAGCAAGAATTGCATCAAGACTGGTGGCTAATAGACACTACAAGTTAGAAATTCAAGCTATATAATCATATATCTAAAATCAGCATTTGTAAGACCTTAAAGTGTGTTCAAAAATACTACACAGTTTTTTTTTTCATCCTGAAAAGCTTCTCAATTTAGATCGATAAAACAAAAGTTTTTTCTTAAAGAGTACTACCAGTACCTTATGTCTGGTAGCCATGAAAGCTTGCAATGTCTACATTCTATGACTGGACATTCATTTAGGACAACATCTGCATTTACATGTATGACCTTCACTGGGTATGGCCTTTTTTTTTCTTCACAACTCAAATAAAATGGGGAGGTGTTTTGTATCACTGCCCTGTGTCATCTATAATGCAAACATTGCAAGCTGTCATGTAAATTATACAGTATAATCAAATATGGAATAAAATGTACATCTAATCCAAGTGGATAATTACTTTGCTAAAAAAGGATACACTGTGCACCTTGTAGTTAGCTCTATAAAAGTTAGAGTAGTAGCAAGATGTGTCTACATTCAAATGTACTGTATATGGATTAAATAATCATTTTCCTTTTATATTTTCTAGTATAGGCCATGGCATAGGTAGATCAGGAGATATAACAGCTATCCAGCCAAAGGCAGCAGGCTCTAGTTTGCTGAACAAACTTACAAACTCCATGGTGTTGGACATCATCAAGACAGCAGGTGCATGAATATTATTGCAGTCTCATAAATAGTTGGTAATGTTAAGAGAATATTAAATCTACCTGTTTAAAGTAAGTATTAACTTAGTGTTATTTATCATTTCCTTGTTAGGTGCTGTTGTAAAAATAGGTAATATATGTAATAGTATGAGTGATATCAAGATAGCAGGCAGGTATTGTAAAGTTTATACTCTTCGCACAGTGTATTTGTATTCTTAAATAAGGACATCAACAATATGAATAGAGAAATCACAAGACTTTTAATAAAAAAAAACAAATATTATTTTGCTTTCCTATAGCAATTTCATCTCATAACATTAGGTGTCCAGTCTGCAGCCTCTGCATTTGTTGTTCCCATGGCAACAGGCATGAGCCTGGTTCTCTGTATGCTGACATTGAAACAACAGCGACCTGATGCCAGATATGTGCTATGGCCAAGGATAGACCAGAAGTCTTGCTTTAAATCTATGGTTACAGCAGGTATCATTCATGAATATTATTTCAGTTTTTTTTTTAGATTTGTTTAATTGATTTTACTTTCACTTTGAAATGGTTCTTTTTTCTCTCTCTGTTTAAGCATACTATTTAAGCATAACTTGAAACCTATAAAAAATGAACACTGCTAGGTTTGACTTTGAAATTACTTTTTATCATTATGAAAAATGTTATCAACATTACAAGTAAGAATATATATTTATATACTGACAGGTTTTCAACCAATAGTAATTGAAAACAAACTTGAGGGAGATGAACTAAGGACAGATATTTCTGCCATTGAATTAAAAGTGCAGGAATTAGGTGCTAAGAATATATTATGTGTGATGACAACAACCAGCTGCTTTGCCCCAAGAGTACCTGACAGGTAAATAGCATATGTGTAGATTTGTACTTTACCTCCGATATTACATATTTTATCATATTCATGATCAAAACCAGTATTTCCAAGTGTTAACATTTTTTGATTAAAAAAAAACACACTTCCTATTTGCATCTTAACATTTGATGATGAGTTCAGGAAGTTCCTGCTTTGTTTTGATGAAAAGTTTTGTTTACCTTATTAGTACATCAGAAATATGCACTTTATTGTTTTTTCTCTAAGGATAGAAGAAGTAGCTCAACTATGTGCCAAACTTGAGATACCTCATTTAATCAATAATGCGTATGGTGTCCAGTCCTCAAAGTGCATGCATTTGATACAGCAGGTTAGCATGGGAATTTTACTTACTAGTAAATGCTGTTTGATTGATTGATTTTTATTTAAAATTTTTGACCAGTAGCCAAATTTCAAAATGAAATCAAATGCTCTTTTCCAAAATTCCACTGACACTAGTTTATATATTATTTTCAATATCGTTTTTTTTTGTCAAATATATGAATAGAAATAGAAAAACTGGTGTTTACATAAATCAGCTTTAACCCCACCCACCCCCAATATAAAATCCTTCTCCCTTTCTTGAAAATGAAAATGGCTTCAGTAAATATTTTTATGTACAGACACAGATGTGTCTGTACATATTGCCATCACCAGCGTCTGTCGTCGCCGTCGCCGTCGCCGATCATGTCGCCGTGCACTTTCAGCGTTAACACCATAAGTGGAAGACAGTTTTGCTTTTTGGCTTTATATTTACAGAGCTGATGAATATTCATAAAACACAGGTCAAGTTCGAAAATCAGCATGATCGGGCCATTATTGTAGAATTTATGCTGTTTTTTCACTTTTCAGCATATATGCGACACTGTTAACACATTTCAAGGAAAACTGATAGGCCTGTTGTCATGAAACTCACAGGAGTAATCAATCTTACTAAAATGCAGATCAAGTTCGAAAATCAGCATAATCGGACCATTATTTTTTAAGTTATGCTGTTTTTTCACATTTCCTCAGATTCAATTCTTAGGCATGTTAACAGTCTCATTGTTTAATTAATAAGATATGTAAAAGTGTTTGTTTGACATTTCCTGCATCTTTACAACATTGTTAGTTGATTATGTNGTGATTGAAAAGGCTATGATATTAATGGAAAATACTTATATTTTTATGTACAGACACAGATGTGTCTGTACATATTGCCATCACCTGCGTCTGTCGTCGCCGTCGCCGTCGCTGTCGCCGATCATGTCGCCGTCGCCGTGCACTTTCAGCGTTAACACCATAAGTGGAAGACAGTTTTACCTTTTGGCTTTATATTTACAGAGCTGATGAATATTCATAAAACACAGGGCAAGTTCGAAAATCAGCATGATCGGGCCATTATTGTAGAATTTATGCTGTTTTTTCATTTTTCAGCATATATCCAACACTGTTAACACATTTCAAGGAAAACTTATAGGCCTGTTGTCATGAAACTCACAGGAGTAATCAATCTTACTAAAACGCAGATCAAGTTCAAAAATCGGCATGATCGGGCCACTATTTTAGTAGTTATGCTGTTTTTTCACTTTTCAGCATATATGCAACACTGTTAACACATTTCAAGGAAAACCAATAGGCCTGTTGTCATGAAACTCACAGGAGTAATCAATCTTACTAAAACGCAGGTGAAGTTCGAAAATCAGCATAATCGGACCATTATTTTATAAGTTATGCTGTTTTTTCACATTTCCTCAGATTCAATTCTTAGGCATGTTAACAGTCTCATTATTTAATTAATAAGATACGTAAAAGTGTTCGTTTGACATTTCCTGCATCTTTACAACATTGTTAGTTGATTTTCTAAAAATGATGGTAAACATGTTATCGTGTATTGTGTAATAAAGTGTCAAAAATGGAAATAAACTCATATCATTGCAGTTTGTCAGATTCAATCATTCACTATGTTCAGAATCTCAGAATGGAAGAAATTGGACATTTAACACTGCTCTATTGATATTTTTCCCATCTCATCAATTTTCTTAGTTGATCATATAAAAATGGCAGTAAACTGTTAATTTTGTTTTATGTTAAAAATTGTTATAAATGGGGAAAAAACATTTCAGTTCAGATTGCTGTCTTGTTTACATTTTGGCATTTTCAAGTTGTGACTTTGAAGTTCCATGGGCCTGAAGACCTTTGCTAGTCACATTTTCTGAATATCCATGATACTAATATTTTATTATTAAAAATTGATGGTCATTATGCTGTTAAACATTATGTAATATTGCATCAAAATTTGAAAAAAAACTATTTTGGGCACTGCTCCCATGATGACCATTTAAGAAAAACCATGTCA